CCAAGGAAAACATCATCCATATCTCAAATGCATGTTCCCCATCTCCTCATTCATTTTTCCTGGTGTAAGCAGTTATCTACCTGTACACAGAAACAGCAAATCTAAAGAGCAAACACATATTAAAAACCACAGAGCAAAGACAAAGAGCTCTAGAGTAGAAGTACCCTTTATAAGCTGTACGGCATCAAAGAAGTCAGCAAATCCCCCAGAGCTTCATTTTCCTCACCATTAATTTAATAATAATAATAAACACTGATCTCACTTGAACACGGTGGCAGAGATAGTCGCTATGTATTTACCACACCATTTCTTCTTCCTGGAAACTCTGGAAGACTCCATTCCTCCCAACTTTCCTTGTAGTTAGGTTGGGGGATCACCTGCCTGAATTCTAACCAATGAAATACGAACAGAAGTGATATAAGACATTCCCAAACTGGTCTGTAAATATATTTCACAAAATCCTCCAGCTCTCTCCTCCTGCTTTGTGACATTCTTAGCAGCTACACATCACATGGTGTAGCTACAAGATAAAAACAGCCCAAGTCTCTGTATTGCCCCCATAGGATAGTTAGGAGTGCCAACAGTCCTATTCAATAAATAAAACTCATTTTATTAAGCCACAAAGATTTTTACGCTTACTGGCTACCACACATAATATAACCTATGCTTACTAATAAAATGTCTAAATTATCTGGTTTATATATCAATGTGCCAAACAGCGAGCTATACAGGGTAGTACTGGTAGCAATGATAGAAAGCTTGTAAAAAATTATTACAAATTCCAAGGGTTTTTTTTTTTAGCATTCTAATGGTATGCAAAGGCAATGTAAAGGCTTCCTGAAAGGTAGAATCCAGTCATCACAGACCAGCCACATACTTTTGTAAGAAATTGGTATTCGTCTCTGCTTTTAACATATCCAGGAAATAAAGACAGAGATGATCAAGTTTACCAAGCATTTCACCTGAAATGATTAGGTAGTTGTGACCCCATCACCAGTGTTCATTATAATGAATGCAGTCAGTGACACTAAATTCCTAGAAAGAACAACCTCTAGCCCAAAGATAAAAATTCACACCAATGGGAAGAGATTCTCTCACTTTCAAATCAGAACTGAGAGGATGATTGAGGCCATTTTTTTTTTTAAATCGCCTTTCAGGAAACTTCTTTTCTTGGTTTATAAGCACTCAGAAAAGAACAACAGAATGTGAAGATTTAACAGATAATTTAATTTTATATACACTGATTTTGTCTTATTTTGTCTAAATTTCAAGTACTACTTACATACAATTGGGGCGAAGCCTTCTTGAGGGCCTGAAGAAATGGTACTTAATATAACATTATTTTTTTTCCTGCAGTGTCAAATTTTCTTGATCAGATTGTTCAGTCAATCAAAGAATTATTCCCTTTAGAGACTTTTGAAGGGATATTAATTCAAGTCAATAAAGGAAACCTCAATTAAATCCAAGAGAATTAACATCAATTCAATTGTCCCTTATTGGATGATTAATAAGTATTATTTTATAAACATCACTGACAGGATTAAAAAGATTTGTCATAGAATCAGAAGACCAAAATTCCGTTCAGAAAGGACTAAAAATATTCCTTAACTTTAATTTTTAAATATAGCTTTCCAAAAATCAGACATACTTTAGAGCAATCCTGACATGTCTAGAAGTGCATAAATAAATTTAAACCCATCAATGACCTACTTTAAAGAAAGAAATTACAGCCATCTTAAATACTTGTAATTTATCTTTATGATGATGCCAAGTCACTAATTTTAGAATTCAGAAATTAGAAATTATGGCATAAACTGCATTTTAGCAAAATCAACCATCTAGAGGAAGAAGTAAAGTATATACTTCAGGTAAATAGAAACCTGAATTTGCCTATTCCTGAATTTCTTGACACTGCTAAACATTCATGATATTATCTTCTCACACAGATTAGAAGAACCATAAGGACATACAGGCCAAACACCAGAGTTAGTTCTGTGGACACCAACTGTATTTCCATACATTAAAAACAAAGCAGCACGGCAAGGCTTTCTGAATAGTAGCTGCCTTCCCATCATGGCAGGAACTACTTATTGCCTATCAAATCCTCCACTATCCCCTTCCTTATTAGGGAACAGAACACTACTTCTAGCAATTCCATTTTTAGGTATTTATCTGAAGAAAATGAAGAGGCTAACTCAAAGAAACAAGCACCCCTATGTTCATCACAGCACTATTTACAATAGCCAAGATATGGAAGCAACGTAAATATCCAGAGACAGATGAATGGATTGAAATATAGGAGATCATGTGTGTGTGTGTGTGTGTGTGTGTGTGTGTGTGCATATATATGCACACACACACACACACACACAACAGAATAGTACCCATCAATAAAAAGAATATCTTGCCACTTGCAATAACATGGATGGACCTAGAAGGTAGTATGCTAAGTAAAATATGTCAAACAAAGACAAATACCATATGATTTCATTCATATGTGGAGTCTAAAAAACAAAATATCATTAAAAAATAAAATAAAAAAACAGATAAGCAATAAAACAAAATAAAACAGACTCAAAGATACAGAGAACAAACTGATGGTTGCCAGAGGGCAGGAGGGTAAGGGGATGGATGAAATAGGTAAAAGAAATTAAGAGGTACAATCTTCCAATTATAAAATAAATAACACATAAGGATGTAATGTGCAGCATAGAGAATAGAGTCAATAATATTGTAACAACTTTGTAGGGTAACAGATGATAACTAGACTTATAGTGACCATTTCATAATGTTTGTAAATATTGACTCATTATGTTGTACACTTAAAACTAATACAACACTGTATGTCAACTCTTCTTCTATAAGAAAAGAACAAATAGGAAGGAAAGGGGGAAGAAGGGATGGGGGAGGGGGAAGGGAGGAGAAGAGAAGAGGTAAAGAAAGGAAAAAAGAAGGAAAGAAAGAGTCTCACTCTCTCTGGTAGTGAGGTCTAAATAACCTGCAGAAACTTCTCCTGACCCTGTTCTTGGTTTCAACTAAAAAGAACTTTTTCAAGTATGTCACTCCACTTGTCACTCCTTCCTCTAACACAGATGACCTAATACCCATCTGTTGTATGCCAGAAGTACCAAGTTCTTCCCCCTTCCCCGCCATGGCCATTTGAAACAAGCATGTTTGTTCCTTAAAATTCTGTTTGTGATTATCTATGCTTGGTTGAAACAAAAGACTTAAACTTGGCACATGTCAACCTGTGTATCTGAGATTTTCCTCTATGAAAATATATCGTTTTTATTCCCTTTGTAAAGCAGTTAAGATCACCACGTTTTAAATAGAAAGGTATCATGGATAAGAAATAACCAGTATTAGTTAAATATAACCTGGCCAGAATAAAAAAAGAAAAGAAAATACAACATTAAGCACTTTTTCATGAGTGCATTGCTTCCTGGAATGAAATTACATGTATCCATTAATGACCCTTTGATAAGTTTAAGGCTAATGTAGACTTTCAGAGAAAGCTACTTAAAGAAAATGACCATCTTTAGGGGCCATCTTTTTTTATCTTTTGCCATCTTTCGTACTCCTCCTGACCCCCATATCTATAATGGCTAGAGCCATTTATTTACCCCAGTTACTACCATGGACCTGAGTTCCATGTACTAGGAAAAAAGAACAGAAAATTAAGAGCTTGAATGCTTGATGACACCATGGAATTACTATACAACCAGTCTAGTTTACATCTAGACTACTTGTACATGAGACAGATTTATCCTATTTAACAGTATTCATCAAATTGCTAAAATACCAATATTTTGTTTTGTAAGAAAATCAGCACTATGGGCAATTTATTTTAATAATGTCTTCTTGACAAGAGACACCTAGAAATAAAAATGTCCTGGGATATTCCCAGTAAAATTTCCCAAGGAAAATTTTCCCTTCTCATTTCCCAAAATTACAATGAGAAATCTTATCAATTTATATTTTCTAAGTAATTTAAGGAAGAAGACAAGAAATACTCTGCCATAGAATGTGCATTAACACATGATAATATAAAGAGTACTTTCTAGATTAAACTGTTTTTCTATTATTTCTATTTCCAGGATTCTGTTTTCTAAAAATCTATTGATTCCTATATAGGAACAATGATTAATATTTTAGTTTCCAAATAAAATTTACCCAGTAACATCTTGATGATAGCCAGGAAATTTTTTGAAAGCCTAAAGTTCTGTGCAATCACATTTACTGCAACTATGTACATGAAAAGAGGGAGCAAAGGGAAAAGAAGAGTAAAAGAGAAAGAGAGAAAACAAATGAATTTATATCCATCTGGGTCTTAAATGAAAAGCACCCTATTCTATTGTATAGTTTTCCTCCTACTATATTATATATAGATGGATTAGGAAAGCTTTCATCTTTCAACATCTCCAAGATTTTAGTAACAACAACAACAAAAAAATCCCAGTATAGGAATCTCTCTTCTTCATCTCAATTTGATCTCATTCATTCTCCTCTAAACAAGCTAAAAGACAAAGCAAAGTGCCAAGAGTAATATCTTTTTATTTGTCACAGTAAGTGGCTGATGTATCAAGCTCTCACACTACAAAGCCATATATTTTTTTAAGTCATTATGATGAAAAAAGAAAAATACCTAAATCCACAAGTCTCCAAATGTACTGTTTTAGAATTTATATTAAAAGTGACTCCATCACCTACTACATGTGTATTTGTCTCAATAGCTTAGGGCTGTTACAGCTTGTGCCAAAGTAAAATAGAGTTTGAGGAGAAAAGAAACAGTATTCCACATATTTTGAAGTCTTAAAATAACATTAAGGCAAACCAATGTATTTACTTTTATTGTAAGTTATTTTCTAGAAGATTATCACTTTTGTGGTTAATAATTATAACTAAATTAATTTTCTTTAAAGTGTCATAGAACTTACTTAATATTTTGTGGTTGGTGTGGTAAAAAATATATTTTAAAATAAGTGATGTTCAGGACTTACCACCTCCTCCTCCAAGAAGACTGGCGTTTGCTGTTTAAAACAAAACAAACATAAAAACATTAAATAATACATAAGAACTATTTAAAGCAAAACAAACAAAAAACATAAAATAATACATAAGAACTATCATATGTCAGATAGTTTAAGAAAAAGCTGGTGGTGATCATGTCTCATAAATACACAAAGACTCACACAATGTACTTTCATATAAGGATAGCTTTTATTACTCCTTTATGATGGTATGAAAATTAAAATAATTCACTATCTCTTTTTTCTCTTCAAATGACTATATTTATATGTATTGCCTTCTAATAAAATGAAGTACATATTGTGACTCTTTTATTTTCTATTCTGTATCTAAATTAATCTTCTATATTCTCTGATTTATCAAGTAGAGATAGAATAATGTTATTTAGGCAATTCAACTGTTTCAAAGGACAATGTAACATAAAAGAATAATAATTTGAATAAAACATCATCAAATAAAGCTATCCTAAGACACTGTGCAGTAAGAACCCTTAACCAGTAACAGATTTATTACTTTTAGCACTAACGTTTTATTTGAGGAAAAGAAACGCATTTTTGTAAAACAATATTGTGCCATTTCTTACATAGTTACACATTATCCTAGCACACAGATTTATAGAAGTCAAATAACAAGCAAAGTATAAGATAATTCCACTTGAATTTCTTTCAAGAGGTCAAATCTTCATAAAGTTCCATTGCAGGTTTCTGCTGAAGTAGTAAACAACCTTATGCCTACGTTTATCTAATCATTATAACAGCCAGAAAACAAAAGTTTATACATACTGCACTGAGCTTTATTCCATAAAGTTCTTATGTATCCTAGGCATAATCTCACGCCATTATAAAAAAAGAAATCCTACAACAGTATAAAGAAAGTGTGTGGCATCCAGGGTCTCTTTCTTTGTGTAAAAACTTGAACTACCAAAAACCAAACAAACAAACAAAAAAACAACCAAAGAAATCATTTAAGAAAGAGAAGTAGGAGTCTTTAACTTGATCTTCAGTGTGCTGTCCACAAACCATTGCCGTAATTAAGAGAAGCAAATACCTAAGCGTTACTGATCCCATCGATAAATAATGGATCATTTTAGCAACAAATGCCCATATTCATAATTCCATGAGGTTAACTATGTGATAATTTATACAACACTAAAGAGAATACCATGAAAATGTATAGAGAACACATGCCTTTGAAGGTTATCAGTATGTCAATATTAGAGCATCAAATCTTATTTCATATTATCTTCCAAGGACAGGACAATCTAATTGCTGCTTTTGCCTTCCTCTCAGTACTATTTCCACAAACATGAACTAGATAGCAATGGCATTTATCAATCATAAATAAAACACACTTCTGATGTCATAAAATCTTCAGCCATTCTGGAAACTCAGGTCCCCAAATCTATCTGATTTCACGCAAGAGTGTATAGTATTTACACAGATGGTAGCCAGGACTTAATGTCCTGCACTGGATCAAAATTTGTACCTGTTAAAGTGGTAACTTGTTGCAAGGGCATGAGGAAAGAAGTTGTGAATTCTATTTTGGTTCCTACACCCTTCAGTGAATGGCAGAATTTTCATGATCAACCCACGTCTCTTGGCTAATTCAAATGTTTTCTAAAATTTCAGCTACCTACATTTATAAAACCATATGGCACTTCACACTCCTGCTGATTATTTATTAATTTTTTAAATTATTTATTTTTATATGTCACTGAGAACTGCTTCCCTATCTGTAAGTTTTCCAGATCCCTGAAACTCTCTTTTCTTCCACCCTTCACATATTCAGTCATAAAGAAAAAGGTATTTCCAAGAACAAACAACAATGAATGGTAGCTTTTCACTCAAATTATCATGGCCAGGAGCACAATAACACAATGCAGCTACTTTTACCCAATGTTTAGCTCAATAAAGATAGAGGTCACCTGTTTTGAGAACATAGCCCAAGGTCCATCTGTTTAACTAGGCACTTATCCAATAGATGAGGGTAGATGAGTAGGCATAGGTACAGGAACTAGAACCCCAGTCCTGGAAAACTATCAAGTCAATTTATGTCAGATGTGTGCTCATGTCTAGATAAGTGTATCTGGTCACATTTTAATATCAACATAGAATTACTTTACCAAACTGTGGCATTCTGCATAGTGTACCACCACTGTGTGTGTGTGTGTGAGAGAGAGAGAGAGAGAGAAAGAGAGAGACAGGAGGGGACATGGAAGGGCAGCAGGAGATGGAAAGAGAATCTTTTTTTTTTTTTTTAATTTCTTTTCCGAGTAACAGTATTCATTGTTTTTGTGCCACACCCAGTGCTCCACGCAATACGTGCCCTCCTTAATACCAACCACCGGGCTCCCCCAACCTCCCACCACCCCCTTCAAAACCCTCAGGTTGTTTTTCAGAGTCCATAGTTTCTCATGATTCACCTCCCCTTCCAATTTCCCTCAACTCCCTTCTCCTCTCCATCTCCCCTTGTCCTCCATGTTATTTGTTATGCTCCGCAAATAAGTGAAACCATATGATAATTGATTCTCTCTGCTTGACTTATTTCACTCAGTATAATCTCTTCCAGTCCCGTCCATGTGGCTACAAAAGTTGGGTATTCGTCCTTTCTGATGGAGGCATAATACTCCATAGTGTATATGGACCACATCTTCCTTATCCATTCGTCCGTTGAAGGGCATCTTGGTTCTTTCCACAGTTTGGTGACCGTGGCCATTGCTGCTATAAACATTGGGGTACAGATGTCCCTTCCTTTTGCTACATTTGTATCTTTGGGGTAAATACCCAGTAGTGCAATGGCAGGGTCATAGGGAAGCTCTATTTTTAATTTCTTGAGGAATCTCCACACTGTTCTCCAAAGTGGCTGCACCAACTTGCATTCCCACCAACAGTGTAAGAGGGTTCCCCTTTCTCCACATCCTCTCCAACACATGCTGTTTCCTGTCTTGCTAATTTTGGCCATTCTAACTGGTGTAAGGTGGTATCTCAATGTGGTTTGAATTTGAAGAAGGAGAGAGAATTTTAAGCAGGTTCCACACCCAGTACAGAGCTCAACACAGGGCTTGATCTCATCACCCTTAAATCATGACCTGAGCCAAAAATCAAGAGTCAGAAGCTTGCTTAAATGACTGAGACAACCAGGTGCCCTGACTTTTAAGATAATTTCATGTTCATTACTATTCATGTAATAGAACTTAATCTTGAGTGCTAAAATATACTCTCTCTCTCTCTCACACACACACACACACACACACACACACACACAAATATATATATTTGAAAATATATAATGGAAAAAATATATATATTTTATATATATTATATATATATATTATATATACATATATTTTTATTTCATTCTAAGCAATTCTAAGAACTATAATCCGGGTAATGACTTTTCTAAAGAATTCATGAAATTTAAGCCTATTTTATCAATTTTTAAAAAAGATTTTACTTATTTATTTATTTGACAGAAAGAGAGTGAGGGGAAGCATTCTCAAGCAGGGGGAATGGGAGAGGGAGAAGGAGGAGCCTGTTGCAGGGCTCTATCTCAGAACCCTGGGATCATGACCTGAGACAAAAGCAGACACTTAAAGGACTGAGATACCCAAGTGCCCCATCAATTTCTGTTCTAAAAAAAAAAAAAAAAAAAAAAAAAAAAAAAATTAATGAAATGTTTATTAGCAAAAATATCAAGGGAATTTTCTTGAGTAAAAGTGACATAAATGAAGGCAAATAAAAGCAAACCTTTATCAGGATTTCAAAATATTACCTTTACCTTCACAAAATACCTTATATATAACATAACTGATGCTCAACATTTATTGTCCAGGTGGATGAATATTTCTTCCATTTCACCAAAGTGAAATGACTTTTGTGTGTCTAAAATTAATAGTCATTTAATTTCTACTTAATTATCTCTAATAGATTGAGTTACATCCCAATTAAATAGGAAGCCCCTAAAGAGAAGGTCTGCGTTTAATAGTTTGGACTGCATCTAAGAAGCTCTCAATACATTCTTGCTAATAATGGAAGACCTGGTAAGTTTAGTCCAATTTCTCTTTTGTTTTAGAGGTATGTGTTTACTAAAATGTGTGGAAAAAGCAAACTTTGGTGCTTTTTCTGTATGTAAAATCAAAGACTGTTAAAAAAACTTTTAAAATTTCTTTGGAAATATTTAATGATTAAGAATGTACAAAGTATGTTTATGTATTTCTGTCCCTACCTAATTCCCTTGCTAGAGGGAATTTTGGACATGCCTCTTGTTATTCTCAAAGCCTCACAAAGAAGGAAAAGGAGAAAAGAAACAAAGAAAATTTAAAGTTTATGAGCATGATATCACCACTTCTAAAATAAGATTTAAAAATCTCTTTTCTGAGCATTCTAACCAACACTATCTTTATTCACATTTTCCTAAGTAAAATACCCTTTCTATTACTAGAGAAGTAGAGGAAAAAATCAAGTTAGTAACTGTCTCAAAAAATCGATTCAATGAGAAACTAAAATGAGCCATTACAAGTTAATGAATCTATATATTGCACTTTTTCGTGCCCCCAAAATAACTCAGTGAGATGAACAGTTTCATTGTTTATAAAGCAAAAAACAAAAACAAAACAAAACAAAACAAAAAAACACTGAACATAAAGTGGCAGATTTACTTAAATCTAATTTCAAAGTGGCAACTATGGAGAATTTACTTATCATATCCTCACCAAATGATTAATTTTTTAGAGATTTTGAGAAATTGTTTTCTTTCAACTGCACTCAATTTTGAATTTTTTAATGAAAATTATCAAATTTCTATAGTTATATTCACTTTTAAATTATCAAAACCAGAAAATAATACGATGTAGGAATCCTTTTTGTGGGATAATTAGCCTATATGAAAGATTACCACATCACTTACCAATAGTATCATTATTTCATGTGTTTCTCAGAACACAAAGGGAATGTTAAACTACCTTTATTCTAAAAACACTATCTTGAATGTCCCTGTGTGTGTG